TTTTTACATAGAAATATATAGGAAAAATCTTTAAAAATCTTCTTCTCAAGAACCACTGGGCCAGAAAAGCTGAAACTTATGTGGAAGCATCTTTAGGTAGTGTAGATTCTAAATTGTTACGTCACACAATGTGTTCGACATTGACCGAGTTTATCCCCCGGGTACATTACGGAAGACAGTACAAAATATATAGAGAATAATACATACCCTTTTCCATGTCACATCCTGTATCAGCCCGAGACACCAATATCAGCCAGAGGGCCGAAGGCCCGAGGGCTGATATTGGTCGAGGGCTGATACAGGATGTGATGTGGAAAAGGGTATGTATTAAAATGTTTATTACATACTTAGTTATAAAATACAGCATACATTAAGTTGAGAAGAAAATAAGTAAATAATCATGTATGGACTTCTTACAAATACATATATATATGGTCTATTGTCTCATGCGATTTGGGTTTGTTTCTATTTCTATTTCAATGCACTCGATCCGTAATTTGAAAATAATCTATTACATGTATTTGTAATTTAAGATTAACCTTATTTTCAAAAAGTTAAAATTAAGAGAATATGAACCCACCAAAAATTGTGTATGATCACAAGTACTGTTTTTGTGGTTTAATTTACTAAGGGTGTGATATTGACATCACAATGGCCGTATCAGCCCTGCAAGGCTGATACGGCTATTGTGACGTCAGTCATATCGCATATGCAAAAAACCTGTATTTATTACTAAGTGTGTAGTTAAATGTGATAACGTCAATTGTCGCATATCTGCGGTGATTTTCTTTGATCTTTGTGTGGTGATATATCCCATATCACATATGCGATAATACTTTCCACGCCCCTTCATATATCACTGCAGGAGGCAGAAATCATGTCATGAGAAAAAAAAAACTAATTTTATTTCACAAGTTCATTACTACAGAAAAACGAAGATGTTAAGCTATTTCTTAGCCTTTAACTAAATTAAAATACACATGTATTTAACTCGGTTGAAAGTTCCCAGTCGTTCAAAAGATTAATCCATTTTGAAATTTTGAAAGTTACGGAAAAATCTCCAAACTTTATATCGTTAAACTCCTTGATATTTGCTTCTTTGATTTCACATTTGTCGAGTGCTATTTCCTCAAAAATAAATTGTCAAAATCTTCAAACTCAGTTAAAAAGTCAAAGACAAATTCACTAAGAACGTCCGACATGTTGGAGAGCTAGCTTGAAATGAATTTTAAGTTTATGACTCTGAATATTTTTTTTTTATTTTGACACTCTCAATGAAATTTACGTCATCAGACATGCGACAAGTTGCTTACATTATCATGCCTCGTACAATTGGTTATATCGATGGAAATCTCGGGCGCTCCGCGCCCTCGATTTCCACGCCCCATGAAAACGATATAATCAATACTACTCGGCTTCTATGATGTAACCTATACTTTTTATATAATTTTCTTTTCGTAAGTAGCGATATGCCATTATCATCTAGATATGGAGTTTATGTCCCTCAGATTACCCTATATGCAAGAACATGTTCTACGAATAATTTTTAAAACAAGACAAGCTAATGACAAATAAGTTTATGATTTATGATAAAGGGAACATGCATTGCCCGGAGACAGAAGTTGCTTAAACTTCCTTACTTCCCCATGGCATCTACTTCCATGTCCTTTGATGTCGGTGTATGCACTGATCAAAGTTTGTATGGTTCAAATTTCAATTATTTTTTCAGTTTTAAAGTTTTGAAATTATTATACATAGGAATTATCTTTCAAACTACATGTACATTATATTTCTTTGCAAACGAAGATGTCAATTTCGGTCTCTGCATGCCTTGTCCTTTACACTGGTTGTATAATAAACACTGTACACGCTAAAAAACGATAAATACAAATTAAATTTTACACTATACAAAGAACAAGTACAATTCTCAGTGTGTCAAAAAAAGCCACGCCCTCCTGAAAGTCCAAGGTTAACTGAGAATTGTACTAACGAATCTTAATTTATGCATCAAATTTAAGGATAAAAAATAATAGGCCTTGACCAGACAATGGATTTTCGTTTACATGTCTAGGCTGGTAACAAGAATGAAGCGTGGGAAAATGGAAGCCCACGCATCTTAGCTTTATTGCTAAAGGCATTTAATTAATAAAACATCCGATCTTTCAAGAAAGACAAGTACACTACAGCGAAGATAGTCAATGAATTCTCTTCTTTATCAGTTTATTACTCATACATCGTGTTTAATGTGTATTTCGAGATGACACATAGTTTAATTACATGATTGTATAAATCAAAACAAAGGTCGAAATGGTGAGAACAATTAAAAAAAATTACAATTCTGGTATCTTGTCAATGAGCACTGCACCTCATTAATTTTACCATGTGATCATGTGCAATCTACACGTTGTTCTGCGACACAAGCCACAAACTGTCGTCATACTGTAAGTATGGGACGGTCTATAGTTGCGCAAAATGAGATTGGGAAACCACCGACATCAGTGTAGTAAATTATCACGTGATTAAATTGCTGGTCTCCCAAACAAATACACATGACCTGAAATTGAGTACTTTTGTTGTCCACTTTTGACGGTTCCCTAATAATGTATGAATGAAAGTAGACTAATTGGATCCAAAAGCGTTTAGCAGAGCTGGGTCCTCATTGTTTGACCTCATCATTGCTGTAGACACTATTTATACCTCTCTTGTAAAAAGAGTCGTAAACGGAAGTTTTCAAGCGCCCTCTTCTGATTAAGTCGGAAGCGGTACTTAGCTTTGATCGTTGTGTTTTCTTATCAACTGATCTGTGCAAAAACTGGCGATATCCCCAAACTGAAACCACAACAATTAATGACGGCGTATTTTGACAAGGACCTAATATATTATTAAAAAGAAGAAAAAAAAGGATTCATAACAAGTTTTATGTTTCGCAATATACCATGTGCAGACATACAGACCTCGACTTGACTCACATAATGACGAAGGAGGCTGGGTATACGAAAAATCTCTATCAGGTTTTGGACATCTATACAATTCCTTTGTAAGATTAAATATTCAATAAATTTTATAATAAACGTCTTGGTACGATTCATTACATACTGCCGACAACGGATTAGCATTTTATGAGGAGCAAGGATGCCATAAAAATTAATAGCAAAAATACTTTAAATTTAATTGCTGATAAAGTGGAAAATTTGAAATAATGTATGGACATTTTAAAAAGTGAAATGTCAGCAGAGTTGAACAAAACTGTAGTAAATTCAAACCTATACGTACGACATGGCATACATTTTACAAACGTAACCATGGTTTACAGGAATTACAATTTGACCAATTTTGTTACATGTAGTAAAATTATTGTTAATCCAAAGCTTATCAAGAAACAAAAATTAGAAACAGTTAAGAAATATGAGGGAAGGGCATATTGCTTTGCTGTCGGTCTGCATATTGGTCTAGCTGTTCGGTCTGTCTGTCTGTCTATCGGTCGGTCGGTCCACCGGTAGTTTCCGTTGATTTTCTTTGCAGAGCTTGCACATACTGAAATGATATTTGATTTACAGATTATCATGACAACATAAGAAAACACAAATCTGTTTCAATATCCCTATCATTCGATCATCAAATGATTGATGATTTGATTTTTAATTTCAGAACTTCTACAGACAATAAGACCTTGCAGGTATCATATGAAGCTCCATGATGTAATGTTGAGCACGCATGAAAGTCTGGTAAAATAATCAAATCTGTATCGGCAAAATTACTACAGAATGAATTCAATTGAAGGATGCTCTATACTGTCCTATCAATCTAGGATTGTTTAGAGCGTGCTATCCCAAAGTAAATATGATCATTTTGTTGAATTGCTTGTTCAACAGTTTATCGCAACCATTCATTTAGATTGCTGACGATCTGTCTTAATACACGTTCAATGATTTATATTGATCTGTCGGGTTAATTGTAAGACTGTACAACCTTAACTTCCATCATGAGTACCTAGTACACACATGTAGGTCTAAAATTTTCAGCTCTCCACTACCAATTGGTGGCGTCTCAATTTGAGTTAAAATTCTCAGAGAGGACGTTAATCCAGCCCACCAACCAACAAACAAATCAATCCTGACTGCAAAGCATCCATTTCATATTTCAGTATTTTTCATCATGCAAAATTTAAAGACATTTTAAAATTTTATTTCACAGTTCGGATGGAAAAGTTTTAATTGATTTTTAATGTACACCTGTGACATCAAAAGTGTTCTAAAATTAGTTTCCAATTATTTTTAAAAGGCCTTATAAGCAAAATAAGAAATAGATGCATGGATCGGCACAGACTGTTTTTATTTTCGTATACGTACGTCTTAATTTATCAGGTATATGTTCTGTATGTTTTGATATTATGAAAACTTGAAAGAAAGGCCGAGTTCCACAGCCTGACAGGTATTCCAAGCTTTGCAAAATTTGCATCTCCATAATTTATTATATAACCTATTTGATGTATGTGTTAATATTTTAAACAAAATCGGTAATTAATGCAATTACGTTTTAGCATAACATTATCTTTTAAGTTTATCGATGTTTCATAGGTCTCTGATAATAAGAGTGAGAAAATCATTGATAGTGTACTATACGTATATATGCATTTAATATTGATATTGATGAATTATGAAAAGACCAAGATAGAGTAAGAACCATGTTCGATACTTGATCAATATACCCCCATCGCTTTACTCATAGTTTGCAAGGCTGGTCTTGTGCAGCGTGATGGGAACCTCGCAAAAAAGGGGGGTACGTGGGATACAATATGTAAAGATATGCAAGTTAAGATAATATATCCCCCTTGATGTGGAGGGTGATATCGCAGGCCGGTGACCATTATCAAATTTTGTTTATATTGTGGTATACGATAACTGCATCCATGAATGTTGACCTGGATTTTCATCAAACAGGTCCAATCGTATTTTAGACTCAGTGTAAGTTCGGGGATGGTAAGATATGTTAATAAGGGGAATATAAACTGGAGAGGGGTCCCCCCGTAATCTCACTTGAATCTCGTGATGGGGGGACTAATTACTCTATCCACCAATCGGCGCTGATATTAATAGGCCGTGCACATATAGCACTTAGGATTCGTGTAATAAGGGGTGATAAGACATTTATTTTTCTTTCATTCATAAGACGTTGTATATTAAGAGAGCTCGTATACATTTACAAACCGGCTAGCTAGTGTCATTCAATTTTCCCCCTATACGACTGACACGTTACTCTGGGCCTAACAGGTATATACATCATTATTCAAGCAAACGACAATATTATTTATACTGCACCACGTGGAGGAAAAAATACCTACTTGTTAGCAGACGATATATAGACAGAAGAACTAAAACATTGATTAGTGGCGTGAAAACAAAATTAATAGAGAGTCACTCAATGCTCGCCGGTTAACATCGAATTATACATGTACTTCACCGCAATAGATAGACAGAAGAAGGAATAAAGGATTGATCCTGTGTGCGGTGATATATTCGTGGCCATGGAAGACTTTCTTCCGCTCTGCTCGAGCTTGGAGAGAGAGCAATACACTTTACAGAGACTAAACTCATCCGGCGAGGAAACGGACCCCGGATATAACGGATACCGGAGCAGTAGTCCGTCTTCGTCAGTCTGGAGCTTGGATAGCATGGACGACGAGGTGTATCTGGAATACTTATTTTCTCAAGGACTCGCTGACAGCATTGAAAAACCTGACCCGGTAAGTCCCGAGATTGTTAATAACTGTAGCGCCAAAATTTCGTCTTTCTGTGATTCGTACTGCAATCAGCTGTTCAGTATAGACCATTCGCTGTCTCCGGTTTCTTCCTGTGGCGGCCGTTCTACTAGGGATGAAGTTTTTGAGGAGGAGTCCTCAAACTCAGATTCGCCTGACAGTGAATTCGTGGTGTTAGGAGTGGGACTGCAAAGTCTAATGCATAATTACTGTGCAAAACCAAGCAACGAAAACAATGTTAGTGAATATAAAATAGATTTACCAAAAAATACTCAGTTTGTAGCTTACTCACGAGGGCACCACGTGAGTATCACTAGGCAACCACTGTCTCATTCGTCTGCAAATTCTTTACTTTCGCACAAAAGTCTTCTGAATACAATTGCCTCAGCTTCAGCAGTTTCCAAGGCAACGATTCCGAGACCAGCCACTTCTACCCCGGCCAAAGATCCAAAAGTGGAAGAGAAAATTTACCATTGTACTTACAATGGTTGCAACAAAGTGTACAGCAAAAGCTCGCACCTGAAAGCACATTTACGCCGACATACGGGTGAAAAGCCGTTCTCTTGCACCTGGCCCGGATGCGGATGGAGGTTTTCACGCTCTGATGAACTTGCCCGTCATAAACGATCGCATTCTGGAATAAAACCGTATCAATGTAAGATTTGTGAAAAAAGGTTCTCTAGATCCGACCATCTATCAAAACATCTTAAGGTTCATAGGAAAAGGTAACATTAGGTGGCTTAGAAATCCGACATCCTGCCAAAAATTTATTTTTAGTTACAAAAATGACGTGTGTTCGAATTGAAAATACTTATGGTGCTATCATTTGGAGACTGAGAAAATTTTGCCAGAAAATGAAATCCAGGGAGTACATGTGTTAGTAAGTTTTCATCACCAAAACTCACTCATGAATATAACATTTCTTGCTTTTGGGGGAATGAAAATTCGTCATCTTCATTCTTAAAGGACTTCTAAAAAATGTATGAAGTAAATATTCTTGAAAAAAAAATTGTAAAGACTTGTATGGCGTGACCAAGAATGATCGATGGGGGAGCTAGAAGAGATATTTAGGAGCTGGAGTTTAGAGCTATCCTCTTATACAATTAATCAATATGGCTTCATGTTGGAATCTGTCTCCGACCATCATATTATGCATGCTTACAGAAGGGAAAAAACGATACAGTGATTAAATGAGTAAAGTATTGGTTTGGATCCAAAAGATTTTATTTTTATGGTCTTTTTTCTACTATGCAGCAGTTCTGTTCAAAATTGATTGCATGTATTTTGCAATTGGATCCAGTAAGAAAATGAAGGTTGTGCACACTTCCATTCCATTTTCATTTTATGCACTCATTCGCTTTCATTAACAAGGGTAAAGGTCTAGAGTAATTTACGTTTTATTGTGTATTAAAACAGCTCTAAAAAGCACACACTGTGATAGTGTATAGCCGTTTTGTTTTCTAGGCGCTTTAGCGTGTAGCCTCGGGGGAACATTCCATATATTTGAAAGATTCAAGTATGTTGATTATTCAGAAAACAAAGCTATATATCCATCTATTATCTTTACAAGTTAATTTACACACGGTGCAGAAAACAGTCCCCTAGTCTAATAATTAAATTCTCTTTTATGCGTGAGAAAGTTTATATATTTCATGTTTGAATGAATTTTAAGTTCCATTTCGTAATTTTCCACATATTTAATCCAATGCATCATGTATCGTGTTAATGTGCGAAGTAAGTCATTTTGAGTGTTTGCAAGTGCGAATTCATGCATATTCATTTTAGTTTAACATTATGCCGGGAGCTGTTGCAAAATTCATTTAGTTGTTATGTAGGAAAGTGCAGTGCATGGGTAAACGTTCAGAGAGAGAGAGAGAAAGAGAGAGAGAGAGATTGAGTCTGTGCTAGGTGACTGATTCATATTGCATCATTATATACGGCGGGCTGGTTTCCGTCGATTCATATAACCCCCTTAATAGTAAACATAATCCTTTAAGAGTCAAAGTCCTCTTAAATTGTCCACATCATGTCCTTCAGTTTTACAACATAGTGGCGGATCTATGACGTGTCGAAAGGTGTAATTGTTATGGTTTTTTTAAATGAAATATCAATATTTAAGTCTATTCCACCACAATTTTATGGTGTGTTTTTTTCTACAAATATTTACCAGACTTAAAACTGTAGTTAATAATAATATAGTTCCCTGTACAAATACTCAGATATCTTATTTCACCTTGCTTTAAATTTAATGTTACCGGGTTTTCAATTATTTGTTTACATACCGGTAAAACAAGTTTTCACGTTTTATTTTTCTGAGCATTTTTATAAAAGGCACGGTAATGGAATTTCCCTATATTTGTATATAAAAACAAAACAGGATTTGTTATTTTGGATTTTGAAATTTGGCATCCTCCTTAGCAATTACAATGTATGCCATGCCCTCTTACTAATTTGGTTTTTCCAATTCGCCATGTGATTTGCATAAGTTTGAATACCTCGACTGCGTTGACCGCAGGAAAAAAATGATTTTAATTTGATTCATTTATTTTCTTTCATTGCATTCCTTGTACATTGTGTAATTGATTATGCATTATGAAGTTAAGGCCAGAATTATTTCCATATTGTCATACAAATGATGTGTTGCTGTACTTAATTATAGCGGTGCTAGAATGTTTAAGTGTGATTGTTTAAATTGTTTTGATTCTAATATATATGAATGTTTACTTAGTCTTTACACAAATGAATTCTTACTTGATTTAAAAAAAAATGTGTTTCTTTTTATTTTAATAATTGATTTGGCATAATGCACTATGGGCCAAGTTAAGAACTATATACAAATGCATGTACTACATGTTATGAGTAGCCCACAAATTCAGTAGTGATGGTTCCGGGTTCAAATAATGGTCAGAATAAGATTGGAAGTCCAGTGCTCTTTTTTAGGAAAATTTTTTAACCTTTAAAATGACGTGTTTTCATTGAAAATAACGTTAACAAATTATTAACTCCAATTCCATTTCCCGAACATCCCTTAAATGAATACCAAGGAACTAGTTTTTCGAATGAAATATTTTCAGAAAAGTTGAACTTTTTAAAAACTATTTGATTAACCTTATTTTTAAAGCATTAACAATTAAGATATTCAATGGACAACAAGATCTAATGTTGGTGGAGGTCACTCCTGCATAGGAATCAAGCAAAAACACATAAAATTAGTAATAGCCAAAGGTTAGGGTACATAGATAGGTCAAAAAGTGCGTAGGTCTAACCAAAACTATGTATTATTGATATGTTCCTCGAATAGCATTAAGTAGAACTTATTAAGACTATCTACATGCAAATCTTACAAGGGTCATCAAAATGTAAATCTCTTGCTTCAGATGAATACCAAAACAACTTAAGAATGTATATCAAAAGAAAACAGTCGACTTGAATTGATGTATTTTTTTTTCTTTATTCAGTTGAGTACAATCTATACATATAAGTTTTACAAAGATAAATGACTCCACTATATCTACACGTATATAGACTGATATCATTAGGATAAAGTGTAACGGATGTCTATAGTATTTACATGTACAAGTCTGGACCTATTTAGCTTCCTAGTGTATAGATAATACATACATGTATTACCTAAAATCACAAAGGTATCGATAATGTTTTTTTCCTGGACTGATTTACAAATATTCAGGACCTCAACAACAAAAATGCAAGAAAGGAAAATATTCCATGTCATCATGCCATAAAGTAGCATTGTACATTTTAGCGAGCCCCACCCACCCATTTTTTTTTTTTTGATAGGACAGATTTAAACTTCAAATTCATGCAAGGAAAATGCATTTATATATTCAGACGTTGTAAGTGGTATTCACCCCGCTTCCAATCCCCTACCCTCACATATACAAAATATACTTTCTTTTTTTATCTTCTGTGTACATGTGTCTGTGTATATATGATAATAATTAAAATCTGAAGTAGTTCATAGATCGGTCACAATCTTAGATGAACACTCTGTACTCGGTCACCAGTTATCACTCGCTATCGTCAGAAATATTTGGACATGGTGATAACACCCACCCCAGTTCATTTTACCCACAGTATACAGACATCATCGACTGTTGGACACCCATCAGATAAACAGTAACTCAAATGTCACGAGATTTATCTGTTGCCGAGATTTTTAATGATGATTGTTTCGGGCAAAATCACTTTATTAACTATTCCATGTTTTCTGTTAAGTGTGTTTAGAACCGTGGAATTGTTAATGCATGTATGTAACGGAATTATTTGCATTCAATATTCGGAGGAAACAGACAAAAAAAAAAAATCACAAAAGCATTAAGAGCCAGCAGCTCAAGTACATACTTCAAAATTACTCCATATTGTGAACATTATATCAAGGCCTTCTTTGCACGAGGAGAACATTTTTAATAAACTATTCTTGATCCCCATTGTATGTTAATGACACAAGCTGTATGTGCTTTGTTTGCAGGTTTTAATTCCTAACACTTATTCTCAGAATACTTGTAAGTGGCCATATTGACATGCCTCTGCCTCCTTGAAAAACCTGCCGAATATTTACGTTTTAGAACAATTTAATCTTCTTTTTTTCTTTTCTCAAATTGCTTCGCATTTTTCCCTATACAAAAATGAAATTCTTCTTTTGCATTGAACCTTTTTTCATATCAAATAGTGAATACTCTGCAATGAATTCAAAAAATTAGTCTACTCTTTTTTCTCACATACTGTCATGGACCGGAGTAAATTATTGAAACGGAAGAGGAAAATAAAAGTCATTAATGAAATGCTCAAACCCACAAATAAAACACTTAAATAATTCATCTCTCTGTGTTAAAGTCCACCTCCGGCGAGATGATATGATCGTTTCTTTTCCGGAATTCGACCTTTTATGGTTTATATTAAGGTCAAAGTTCAGACAGTCGCGTCACAAGTATGTGACGTCACGTCCCATCATGGCCACCGGCAAAGCTGACATTTCTAGGCGACACCTGGACATATGATATCAATTAACATAATGTAGGACAAATATTAATATAAACAGAATCATAATTTTTATGATAGTCCTTATTCCGTCTACACGTGTGGTATACGCTACGAGTATACTTGTCAGAGGTCTAAACATGTCAGTGATTTTTGGCGAATTGAGTTTTATAGTCCATTTCTAAATTGTATTATAATTTGAAAGCGTCAAGTCACAGGAGACAAATTAATTATTTTTAATTGGAAAATTAAATATTGAATGTACGTTATGTAGAGTTTTAAATTACGGAATAATCGAAATATATATGGGAAGTCACAACTTCTGCATAAATACACAAGTTTATGATTCTGCAATATTAAACTTTATGTGGACGTTCGAAAATTTTTGAAATACAGAACAAAAACAAGCTACAAAAATTTATGCAGTATCTGGTTACTGAAAGGCAAACTCATGCAGTCATCATCTTTAACAATTACTTTCCTTTTCACTTTAATACTTTTCAGCATGTTACATATACGATTGTAGCATAATTTGTACAACTAGGTTACCAAGGTAAATAAAAGGTGCATTATGAACTCAGGTGCAAATGATTACATGCTACTTTGTACCTGTACTTTGTGACTAATCTACAATTAAGCTTGTTGGCGGGCCATTGAGTGCGATTGTCGTATTACATGTAGAATTATTTCCCTTGAAGCTCCCTATACATATAGCCTTAGTCCCGTAAAATCAAGATACAAACATATTTGAACATTCTTTATTTCCACACTACTCATAAATGTAATATAAAAGGTATTATATTAATTCATGGTATGTCCAAAACATCTATTTATAGGACGAAATTAGCCAGGCTTGACCAAAAATAAGAGGGCCATCAAAGGTAGAGTGCAAATAAGGTCATGAGGCAGGTTAACCTATGAAGTGATGAAAGAGTAAAAATAAGTCTCATACAAAATAAGTTTAGACGTTTTGAGAAAGAAATGATTTCATGTACTTTGTATATCTTTCTTGTTTACCGTTAAAGTGATTTTTCTTTATAGATCAGCTTTTATATTTGGAAACAATATAGACGTCGACAAGCATTCATAAGAAGAAAATATTTTATCTAGTATGCATAATTTTCTTTTTTCCAGAGAGTTTTCCTACAAAATTGAAGAAAAATAAGCATAATCTTAAAAACTCATAAAATTAAATAAATAATCCATCAATCGCACAGACACTGTAATTTAATTTTATCTAAAGTTATGGATTTACCATTTACTTCATAAAGTATTCTTAATCTTCATCAATATAATTTAAAATAACTAATGTATCAAAGTCGGGGAGGTGTCCAGGAAATAGCGAGTAAAAATTAAAATTCAAAATTTCTTCATCCATCACGCTTTTCAGCTGTGCGGTACACAACATCTCTGAGGAAAAGCACTACCATTGCGCTTGATGTGCATGAATGTACAATTTTTAGAGACCATATATGTATTTCAAAATCCTTGACATTTGAAACACTTTTATAAGAGTACTGCAGAATAAAAGCAGTTGTCATTGCAAAATTCTTAATTGCATTAAAAGGAGACAAGCTGTTATTGTGCAATGTTTAATCGAGTTTCTGATTATCTACACATCTACATCTACTTGAGCAATATTCTCTTTAGGACATTCTATTACATCGAATACAAGTAATTTAAATTAATTCTTTTTTTAAACAGGAATGTGACGAAAAAATCTGTTAGCTTTTGTTCAAAAGTTATGTTTAAAGTTTTAATTTTCAAAAGTCAGACCAACTCTATTGTCAAGGTCAAATGTCAAAATTTGTTGATATCCAAGAAAAGGATTTGCAGAAAGGAAAACGCATGCGAAAGGAAAACAACCTTGTACTGACAGATTTACAGACAAACACATAGAAGAACGGGGCAAAAACTGTATACGGTGAATCTTATTTTCATGGGGGAAAAAAAAAAAAAAAAAAAAGCAACGCATTTATTACAAATATAAAATGTTAATAATTCTTCTGATTACATGGAATTTTAGTTCATCTCTAAAATAAATTAATTTTCTATGACCCTGTAATGAAGATTCGTGGGTATACAGTTCAATCTACTAGTAATTAAAATTAGACCTTTCATCTCGCACTTCATAATTTTAATTATTTGTTGCTGGTGCGACAACTAAAATTCCGAAGAGTGAGATGAAAGGTTTAATTATAATAAAATTGATATATAGTTTTGCCCTGTCCGTGTAGCTGTATGTCTCTTTAGCTGAGGATTGTACGCAAAAGTTTTGAAATTTCTGATAACATTTGATTGATTGGGGTTTCTCAATTGTGTTTCTTGTGACAAAAACATTTCTCGGGGTATGGACATACATGTATTTGACATCTT